TATGATTCTATGATTCTATATATAAATTAACAGACGTTCTTTTCCCAGAGATCACATACAAAATGAAGGTAAATAAATGCAGAATGGATTTAACAAATATCCATACTAATATCTCAAACATTGTCATGGGAATCTCCAAACAACCTACTCTTTTCAGCAGACCTCAAGATGACCAAAAGCTCCTTTAAAATTAAGGAAACCACACAGACATTCACCTCTATACATTGGGTAAATGGAAAAAAACTCGTTAGAATGATCCAAGGGTTTAAGCTAAGATATCACATCTCTGAGTGCCAAAGATAATAAGCCTTAAACATTACCAATCCTTTTCTCAAATCAGATCCAAAAGTCCCTGGGACACATCCCACACAAATCAGATAGGGACGATGCAAGAAAACAGTCCTCTTACCACCACACAGTTGTGGGCTATCGCTCCCTTGGCCAAGGCCTAATTAAAGAGTCCATTATGAAATATTCACTGTAGAAATTAATGCTCTGGCATGTAAAAGCTACTGGCCTTAGAGCTGCTTCACACACTTCCACGGAAGGTTACTACCAGCACAGGAGATCTGGCATGGCAGCAGGCCAGAGCTCCCCACACCTCCCTCAGTGCCAAAAAGGAGCAATTACCATCAGGTCTGTAGCACACAGCAGAAGAAACTCCAGCTTCCAAGTTTTTGAGACAAAACAGCAAGAAACACAACTTAAGGTACAACAAAGAACATTAATTTTAATATCAAGAAAAAAAAAAATCCGTGCTGGGTGAGTCAAGCTTTTATTGCTAAACCAGCTTAAATTAAAGCAGGTGGCAAACTGCTATACTCTGTAACCAATGAAAGCACAAAAATCAGTTTCACAAATTATTTCTTAGCATTCCAGTTGTAGCAAGCAGGAGATTCAGAAAAGCTTATTTTAATTAAAAACTTTTATTTTTCATTACAATTCACAGTTTATACACGGCAAGACGAACCCTTGCCATGTGGACATTCAGAGCACTGTGCTGGGGAGACAAGGGTCTTTGTTATAAGAGCATTTCTCGGTGCTGTGTCATGGAACTTCCTTAGTTTTAAAAGCGTACTCTCTGCAAATGTTAATTGACTGATATTTACACTGAACTGTCTGAATTTACATATTAACTTATATTTATTAGAAAACAAGCTAAGCATCCAAAAAACATTAACATTCATATTTTGCATGTTATCTAATGGTCAGAGATGCTGTAAGATTTGCCACTTGAATCATGCCCAATCAGCAAAGTCCCATTCTTTTTTAATTTACACAGAGCCTAAATTATTCTTTCAGGCCTGTTCTATTCATTTTATGTACAGCCAGCTTACAATAGACTAACAGAAGAAAAAAAAAAATGCAAAATTATCCATCCTGTCCTGCATTTCTTCTGAATCTCATGTACACCTCTAAGCAAAACAGAAGATACAAAAGCAAAGTGAATGTGTTTTCTTAAAACCAATAAAGAAACCCCATAGTCTGGTTTAGATCCGCTTCTCGTCAGCCTATCCTGTCTGAACAATCATCGGTATTCAGATTGTGCTATTTATCAGCTGCTCCTCATGCCTGCACTTATATTCAGAGCCATCTCTGTTTGAAATGTAGAAAGTCACAGTGATACCAGTTTCAATTGCATTCCCACGTTAGTCACAGCTCCGGCACAGGCAGCCACTGTACAGCGTGACATTCAGGAAAGCACTCCAGCAGGATTCCTGGGTAAAATATCATATGGCGTCTGGTGTGACTTGAGTTAAAGAGGAAGTTAAGAATCCTTTTCACAGAGCAAATATGTGGCAGAACTTTTATGCGTACGAAAAAGCGCTGTATTTTTCTGCATTGTTTTCTGGATGTGGTTAGTAGAATACAGCAATTAGAAGCTCTCCTGCCTCTCATCGAAACAGTAAATTTTATTTGCTCTTGTCATCTACCAAATAATTTAGTGACAGATAAGCTGCAGATTTTTTTGGTACATCTGACGCAGAGGAAAAAGAAACAACTGCTGAACACTGCTTGAAAAAACACGACCCAAAGAGGGTCTGCAAATTCTACAAGTCAGTGTGAACAAGTATCAGCTGGACCTGAGTAAAACAAAATGCTTCTGGGGGACATGTTTGCAACTTTTGGAAACTGCAGTGCCTTTAATTTAGAGCTAAGAACATCATCTGATGAGCATCGGGTTTTGGCATTCATTCATGCTGGTTGGTATCTTCACGACAGACACCTTTAAAACACCATTGTTTCAAGGAGAATGAAAGCTCAAATGAAATACACTTCTCATGCAAAAAACAAACAAACAAAAAACCATACAGGAACTGTAGAGGTTCTGGTTCTTCAAAAGATAAGGCACTGACAAAAATTTCTTAGGTAAAAGGCTGCATAAGAATTTCTTGCCATTTACAAATGTGTTGTAGTCCAGAAATGGTCCATTCCTAGGCTCAGTAAGGTAGACCCTGAAATTTTAAGGACTGATCCCTCAAAGCTACATTGTTACCATAAACAAGTGTGATTCATTCTTGAGGCCATATGGCACATTAGAAGTGTAAAACAGTCTGGGCAGATAAAGGCAGAAGACGTTGCTTGTTCCAGCATCTTTCGATAACAGAAGTGCCATTTGTCCTTGTGTCTTTGAAGAGATGCGATGGTAACTCTGGGCTGTAGTTTCTGTGGAACTCATGCACACATATAAAATGCTATTAGCATTGACAGGGTGGAGAAAAAAAGAAAGAGAGATATATGGCTAGTCTAAGCCAAGAGCTTCTCACGGTCTGGGATCCAACGTCACAGCTACTTAATGTTTTCAATAACGGCTATCTCTTCTGCTGCACAGTGCGGTGTCAAACCATTCATGTAAATGCTGTCCGTCTTTGTTAGAGCTGGCAAGATGTCCTTCTCACTGGTGAGATGGTTGACTGACAGGGTTCTCTTGCAGGGAGTCAGGTCTTGATTGTGGTTGACGGCGAGTTCTGCAGAGAGCTTCCTTTTGATAGAGGTAGCCCGCTGAAACTTGTCATAGATCTCCACGCTCAGGCGCCTTCGAGTTTCTTTGAACTCTGCGGTGACGTTGGCTGTCCACTCCGCAGCATGGGCTCTGAATTCCCCTACCTGCAACAAAAATTGGGAAAAAAAGTAAGCATTATGGGGCTGGGGGCTTTAGACACTGATTACTCACGCCGCAGGCTCACTCTTTTATTGATAGGAAGTAAACAAGAAGAAACATTGCACTAGGTAAGAGTTAACAATTATTCTAAAGACACAATAAAAACCTTCTCTGCTAAATTTTCTTTAATTATAGGCAGTCAACACCATGGGGAAGCTGCAGAGCCCTGACAGCTGCGCAGTACCCAGCTGGTCAGGGGATGCTGAAATCCCAGCCATCCAGGTTGTGGTGTGCATTGTTACCAGGGTGCAGGGCTATTTATGAGCACTTCTACTGTCTCTGGAAAGAACCCTGGGAGACTTGGCAAAGATTTTTCTAAATTTAGACAGAAAAGCTTTTTTAAAGGAAAATGTCATCTGCTTGTCATCTCTTTTTTGTGCTTGCTTACACGTAGCACCAACACAGCAGCAGTTTGGGTCATGCCAGCAGCATGCCTGCTCACCACCCTGACTCACCGAAGTGACATACGGAACAGCAGCACGGAGACAATTTGCAGAGCGGGACTCCAGGAGCGCCTACGGATCGCACCCAAAGGAAACACAGCCTGACAGTCACTGCGGCTGCACAATTACCATAGAGCTGGAGGGCGGTATTTCCCCTGCCATGCCCAAATCGCCAGCCAAGTTGGCTGCACAGTGCTCGTTTGTACTGTCACTGCCATTTCTGGTCTAGTGCGAGGTGTCACTGTCCATGGCAGGGGGGTTGGAACTAGATGATCTTTAAGGTCCCTTCCAACCCAAACAATTCTATGATTCTATGATTTCACTAACGTATGCACATCCCTGCTGCCTGCTCAGTGCCCTAACTGTATACACCTCTATATTGACGACCTTTATGGCAAAGGCTGATCCACTTTTGCTATAAACTACCATCATTTTTATCCCTTCTGATTTCTTTCCACCATTTCAGGGTTTCAGTGCTAGGGGAGCTGGAGCATCCCATGAGCCCACACTCCAAGGATAGGGCTGAGGAGGGGGAGGAAGGCAGCTGCTGGCACAGAATCCCAAATTATCCTTATTTTTCCTCAGATATGGCATGAGGTAGCCCAAGCAGCTCACCCAAAAAATAGTCTGAGGTGAACCATGGCCTTGCAATTTCTATGCTATTTATTTTTTTGCTCTTGTATTTCAACCAAACCATTGTAACAATATGTTACATGGGTAATTAAACGAGGTGCCTTTTGAGATTCTCATTATAACTGCAAAGGAAATAGATTGTTTCTCTTTTAATCTCTGCTCCGTAGGCAGTTTAATAGTTGGAAGGTATAGCACAGGGAAGATAGACTGCTGATAAATATAACTCCAAAAAAAGGCATTTCAGAAGAATTAACCTACTTAAATAAATTAGTCTAATTGGTACTGCTCAGTCCAGATTTTCAATCATTGGCAAGCAAGCTCAGACTAGGTGAGTATGGAAATAAAAAAAAAAAACTTAACACAGAGAAATGTAGGGGGTAATCCATCAGAGAAAAGTGGCCACAGGCTTATTCATGCTTTGCAGTGCAGTGGAAAACAGGAATATAATGAAGGTAAAAGATAATCAGCTCATCCAGGAGTGACAGGGTTTAAGGAAAACTTTCCCCCTCCAGAAACAAAACAAAAAGATTTCTTTACCCAAGGGTCATTTTATTGCATTTGTCTCAGCTTCAGTGAATTACACAGATGACTAATGTGGACCCATTATGTATATTTTCTAAACCAAGGATTATTATCTGTAATACACAGAGGACTCACCCAGCTGAATGATTATTAGTATTTAAATTGTGCAATTAGGATCAGACACAGATCTGAAAACAACAAAATCTGTAACGCTGAAACATTTCAGCTGCTACAATATTTTTATTTGTAGTAAACAAGTAATGAAAAAATGATAAGCAGTATCAATGCACACCCTGGGGCAGCTTTGTCCTTCTCTGGAGCTTTACTAAAGGGAGGCTGCTCAGATTCTGGAGCATGCTTCTGCCCATGGGAGCAAAGAGCCAGTACAGGGGTTCCTGTTTTACCCTATATGTTTGCACCCCTCACAGGCTGTGTTAGCATTCACCAGACCCGTTATTTTGCTCAGGAACACATCTCTGGGGTTGCATATGGTCACCTTCAAGGGATGTTATCAGACTGATAGTTTTAAAATTGTCTTGGCAACCTACTGTAAGCTACAAGCACCTTGAACTGTCTCCCCATATGCTTTTTAACCTTCGTTCTTCCTTAGTTTTAGTAGTTTAGTAGTTTTAGTTCCCACTGCTATGTTTCCCCAGCAAAGCAAAAAGAGCTGGCTGTGCTTCCGATGAAAACAAGCCTACATAACCCCCTAGGATACGCTCAGATTTCCCTTGCCAGTCCACATCCCCACACGCTGGTGATGGACTGGTCTTGCACAGGAGAAGCTGCTATATTTTAATTCTTGTGCGTGTAAGTTATTCAAGAGAATTTTAAAATTGTAGTTGTTCAGATATCTCATTACTAATTTCTAATTAGATTTCTTTTGGGAAGCAAGTTTATGCAGCCAGCTGAAGAATGTCATTAAATATGCCTTTAGAGATAGGCTCACGTTCCAGTTAAGGTGATGTGGAACATGAACATGGTGGACTCAATCCTGTCATCCCATAGACCACAGCTATGATGCTTCTTGGCACAATTTCAGTTTTATATTGAAATCACAGGAAAAAATTGAAAAGTGCAGTGCTATTGCTATGCAGAATTGAAATGCATTAGTAGTAAAACAGAGGTAATTGGCACAGTGTGAGAAACCAGGAGTTCAGTGCCGTGTGAACTATGGGTGTCCCAAATTACTGCTTTCAGCCCCTGGCTTTTGTGTGAACTTAAATGCACTCAAAAATGTTGTCCCTTCAGAATAAAACTCTTAATTCCGCAGTACTTATGGACTCAAGCACAAAAGGTTATAGGAAAAGAAATGTGCAGTTTTTCACTGCCAGTGTACATAAGAAACTTGCTCTTAAAATTTGATCCCTCCTTTATCCATAGGGACATTTCTGTATACATTCAGGTTCTTTCTCTCCTTAGGGTATGACATTTTATTATACTGTGTTACAGCTCCTCTTCATCTGGGGGCTGGCAGCCACAAAATGTCTTATGCAAAGTGATTGAAATGCCAGTTGCCTTTGCTCATGAAAAAAAAAAATCTTAACATACCTACCTACCATAACAATTGTTGACTTTTCTTAAATTCTCATGCCTCATTACAGAACACAGCCCTGTAGACTCTGCAGCTGTCATAGTTAGGGGCAATGTGACATGAGGACAGGCCTGTTAGTCACAGATTATTGACAACTAAGTACTTTACATAAGGCTGAGTGACAAAATATTGTAAAACTACTCGGAAAAACATGTCACAGTGACAGCACCTGACTCAGCCATACAATAAACAGCACTAATCTGGTGATGCTGCTCACTCCTAACCTTCAGGGAACAGAAATGCCACCACTCACGGGGACACAGGCCTTCGCCCAGCTCCAGGATTGACTTCCCCAACATCAAAATCCAAGTTAAATTGCAAGACATATTTCACAAAGAGTATCAACTCCAACCTATTAATATTGTACTGTGAAGATCAACATTTAATAACTTTATTAGGTATTTATGAAGCAATGCCCTACTGCCTTGTGAGTCCAGGGCAGATGGGACTCAATGATAAATTCTCAAGAAACATGGTAATGGTAACACAACTAAATATTCCACACAGCACACTTCACCATTAAAAACTAGATACTTTTCCATCAAGTAAACAGTGTTGACTCAATTCCTTGCCCAGCACAGGCTGCCTGGCCTCCAGCTACCACTGCAGATGGGCCTTGGGACTGCATACATTCTGCATCATATCTGACAGCCCTATGGGGATGTCTCAGCTACCACTGGTCACCTCTAGTACTGCCTCTAAATGTTTATGTGAAGGTATCTGTGGTGGAAATGTCACATTTACTCTATTAGCATATAACAAGGAATAGCCTCTGAACAATGTCTACTATTCCTGCTAAAGTCACTTTTGATTTTTTGGGGTTTTGTCTGTTTGTTTTAACTATACATCAAAAAAATATTGCATGAACTTCCTGAAAGATTAAAGAGTTCCCAATCTGTGTACATACACTATCACCAATATAAAGTCAGACATACTGAATTTGACAGAACTGAAACAAACAAAACAAAAAGAAAAGCACACTGAGGAACCAATCCTTCACCTATTCTGCCAAAATGCATCTAAATTAATAATAATGACCTAAAACTGGCTCTCAGCCAACATCAGTAGTGAGAACAAAACACATTATTCATTTTCATTGCCACCATGTTTTAGCTTTCTCACTGTCTAGCTGAGCTCTGTGCTTGGATAGAGACCAACAGCATAACCCAGCATGTAAACATGTCCAAGGGGATGCTACTGTTAGAAGAAAGAAATACCAAAAAAAGCAAAACCAAAACATTTGAAGATATTGAAGTGCCTACTTCACTCTTCAGTACATTTATCCTAATTCCCTATACTTGTCAGGAGTTTGGGGATCTTTCTGAACACTGTGCTCACAACAGATATTCTAATAATTATAGAAATAAAACCGTGTAGGAAGATCAGCCATCCTGTTAACAGGTGGGGTTTGAGCAGTACAAGCCATGTAACCTTTTCATGAGTAACCTGGACTTTGAATTAAGCCACATCTGTTGTCTGACAGAAAAAAAAACCAAGTCTAATTAAGGTTGTCCTTAAATAGTCCAAAATTAATACTCACTTTTCTAACTTAACTTTGCCTTAGTGTTGCTCCTCTCAAGGAGATTCTTGAAAAATCCCATTACAGTATAACCAGTTAATCAACTTCTACTTACAGAGCAGGAAGAAAGATATCCTGCTTGGATAGAACTCAGATATAGGACATGAAAGTTAAGATACACTTGAGAGGAGCTCAACTTTTAAGTACCAAATAAGGAAAGAAAAAAAAAAAGTA